TTACAGTAATCACTGATATTCATTATACTGCACTACTCAACTTATTATCTTACCTTTACCTTACAGTACCCTTTTCTACAGTACCCTTTTCTACAGTACCCTTTTCTACAGTACCCTTTTCTACAGTACCCTTTCTACAGTACCCTTTTCTACAGTACCCTTTCTACAGTACATTATTTGGTACAGTACCCTTGTAGTATTTGATACAGTATCCTTTCTACAGTGCTCTTCAGCGATTACTTCTACAACAACTTCTACAACAATTTCTACAGTACCCTTTCTGGCTTTTTGGATGAGAGGTTGGTGTGTTTTCATTTTATACAGTATCCTTTCTGCACTACTTATCGATCATGCTATGCTATTTTTGTTGCCCTTCCTCAGCTGGCATTGTCAAGTCGATCTGAACTGAATTCTGTAGTGGTCCTTTTATTGGCTGGGAATCCAAACTGTATCCAAACTGGGGTCGGCACCGGGATTCGAACCCGCGGCCTATCGCTATCGCTGACCGCTTACCAGTCGAACGCTCTACCAATGAGCTACACCAGCACGTCTCCCAGTCGCGAGGATAGGGCTTTATATTCCTTTATATCTTTGTAAAGGCTTTAGATCTGTGATAATCCTTTTTCTTCTTTATATACTAAATCTTTATTCTCGAATTTTACAGTATTCTTTGTAAAGTTTCAGTGATTTTGTTCATCATTCGGTAGCTATTCCATTTAAAAATTGTTATTCATTTAAAACCGACTCTTTCTTTATGAAGCAAATGTTAATTGAAGAATTATATGACTTGAACTACTCAACTTGACGGTACAAGAATGTACAGTACAAGAATGTACAGTACAAGAACGTACGGTACAAGAATGTACAGTACAAGAACGTACGGTACAAGAACGTACAGTACAAGAACGTACGGTACAAGAACGTACAGTACAAGAACGTACGGTACAATACAGTACAAGAATGTACGGTACAAGAATGTAGGGTACAAGAATGTACGGTACAAGAACGTACAGTACAAGAATGTACGGTACAAGTTGAGTGTTTAGAGTTGAGTACAAGTTGAGAAAGGTTGTGTTTTAAGCAAAAGCACTAACTTTGCTTACTGGGCTCATTTTTTTCAAATCAAATCCTGTTATTCTCCTGAAACCGCGTGACCCTTTTCCTTTATTTGTGACTCAGATGTGTGTATGTGTGGATATTTGGATGTTTTCGTGTCGATTTCCCTCTCTTCTCCTTAGCCGTTCATCTTTCTCGCACAATTCAGCCTGAAAAAACCGGCTTTATCCAAAACAGAGCCGATGTTCATCTTGAGCAATTTCACAAATACAGAACAACACGTCATTTTGAAAATTTCCCATCGAGCTTTGCATCATCTTTTTAAAGATTTGACTTTAAACTATTTCTAAGATCGTTCTAGATTTCTAATGCACTTAAGATCTAGTTCTAGAGCTAGTTCTAGAGCTAGAGCTAGTTCTAGAGCTAGTTCTAGAGCTAGAGCTAGTTCTAGAGCTAGTTCTAGAGCTAGAGCTAGTTCTAGATCTAGTTCTAGAGCTAGAGCTAGTTCTAGATTTAGTTCTAGAGCTAGAGCGAGATCTAGTTCTAGTTCTAGTTCTAGAGCTAGTTCTAGAGCTAGTTCTAGAGCTAGAGCTAGTTCTAGAGCTAGTTATAGATCTAGAGCTAGTTCTAGAGCTAGTTATAGAGCTAGAGCTAGTTCTAGAGCTAGTTATAGAGCTAGTTCTAGAGCTAGTTCTAGTTCTAGATCTAGTTCTAGATCTAGTTCTAGATCTAGTTATAGATCTAGTTATAGATCTAGTTCTAGTTCTAGTTCCAGTTCTAGTTCTACTTCTAGATCTTCAGCGCATTAGAAATCTAAATTAGATTAGATTTAGATTAGAGCACAAAGTACAGATAGTATTACTTATATGAATTGTTAATGGAACTGGATTCAGCCTAAAGACAGGCTTAGAAAGCCCAAAGACGTTTAGATTAAGAGACGTTTAGATTAAGAGACGTTTAGATTAAGCAAATAAACTGGATAGATTGAAATGAACAAAATCATCGTAAAATTTTCAGTTTAACACCTAATCTGGATCTTTTCCAATTCTAATGAAAAAGTTTAGCCAAAAAAAAACCTCAAAACAGTGAAAGCGGGTGGCACAAGCTTGTTACAAGTCCATTTTTCGGTGATGGTCAGTGAAAGGCGCTTATGTTTTTCAAATGACCGATTTCACTCAAAAAAAAAACGCCTCGCTAATACCGAATGTATAATTTTTTTTGAAAACAAACGTATTTAGGGTTTTTTTGGATTCAAGAAGTAGTTAGAATTAACTGAGACGTGGATTTTCTGGATTTGAATAATTTTCTATATAAGAAATATTATGGGATTGCTTAATTGGTGGTATCTTTGTCTTGAAGGACAACCAGGTTCAATGCGGTAAATGTTAGGGACAAATAAAAGAGAGAAGAGAAGAAAAAGAATAGAAATGAATGGATATGAGAAGAGGCTGGCAACAATCGGGATGAGAAAGAGAGGAAGAGGAAGAGAGGAGAAGGAAGAGGAAGAGAGGAAGAGAGGAAGATGGAAGAGAGGAAGATGGGAACATCCCATCCCCTCAATCCCTTCATCGAGGTCATCGATATGTCCTCAAGATCTATTAATTGAAGAGGAGTAGAATACCTAAAAAAACTTGGGTTTTTGAATCATTAGATCAGTTCAAACAGCTTACTATCAGCTTTCTATAAGCTTTCTATCGAACAAACAGCTTTCTAACAGCTTTCTATCGAACAAACAGCTTTCTATCAGCTTTCTATCGAACAATCAGCTTTCTATCAGCTTTCTATCGATCAATCAGCTTTCTATCAGCTTTCTATCAACCTTCTATCGAACAAACGGCTTTCTATCAGCTTTCTATCGAACAAACAGCTTTCTATCAGCTTTTCTATCGATCAAACAGCTTTCTATCAGCTTTCTATCGAACAATCAGCTTTCTATCAGCTTTCTATCGAACAAACAGCTTTCTATCAGCTTTTCTATCGATCAAACAGCTTTCTATCAGCTTTCTATCAAAAGTTGAGGCGTTTTGAATTAACACATTGACAATGAGTCATTCTTCGCTCAATTTTTGAACTTATGACACACCATCTCAATGGATTCTTTCTGGAAAACGTTTAAATGAAAACCAAAGGATTCTTTCGGGAAAAACAATGGTTTACTTTCTTAAATCCACAATTGGATTCTTCTGGAAAACCTGGAAAATCGATTCTCACTAAAACCAAATTATCGGCAGATAGTACCGTTAAAGAGAATTTTTGAATGTAAAGTTTAGACCATTTAAATTCGAGTTTTAATTGGTAGACACAAGAAAATGAATACCGCCAATTGATTCGCCGATCTCGAAAATCCCCGAGCACAAATTCACAGCTGAATATCTTCTTTCTGTGCAATTTACAAAGCAAAAAAAGAATTCCTGTAAATGACTGGGTGCTCTTTATGCGCGCGCATCACCGCTCACTTTCTGGCACATATTCCCGATAGATAGGTGCTACCTTTGGAATCAGAAAAAGAGAGGGAATTGTGAGAGACTAAGCCGACTTTATCGTTTTGAGCATCACTATGTCGAAATTCTTGGGGCGAATTCCTGCCCCAGGAAAGAGGCAAAATTGTGGGCCTTGGATCGATCCCCGGAAGGCTTGCGTGGGCTTTGGATGGTTCGGAAGATGCTCTCATTCACTGTTTCAGGAAAGATAGTCCAATTCCAGAAGGACCCGTGGGGGACCAAGCCAACCCTGTCGCTCCACGCGTTACGATGTCGAAATTCTTGGGGCGAATTCCTGCCCCAGGAAAGAGGCAAAATTGTGGGCCTTGGATCGATCCCCGGAAGGCTTGCGTGGGCTTTGGATGGTTCGGAAGATGCCTCATTCACTGTTTCAGGAAAGATAGTCCAATTCCAGAAGGACCCGTGGGGGACCAAGCCAACCCTGTCGCTCCACGCGTTACGATGTCGAAATTCTTGGGGCGAATTCCTGCCCCAGGAAAGAGGCAAAATTGTGGGCCTTGAATGGATACCTGGAAGCTTGCGTGGGCTTTGGATGGTTCGGAAGATGCTCTCATTCATTGTTTCAAGAAAGATAGTCCAATTCCAGAAGGACCAAGCCAACCCTGTCGCTCCACGCGTTACGATGTCGAAATTCTTGGGGCGAATTCCTGCCCCAGGAAAGAGGCAAAATTGTGCAATTACGAGGGCTTTAGATGGATCGAAAGATGCTTTCATTCACTGTTTCAAGAAAGATAGTCCAATTCTAGAAGGAGCAAAACAATTGGCCCAGCTTGACTTGAGCAAGCCGTCAATAGAGATCGTGTTGGAAATATTGTTTTTGATAATTCGGATTTTTCAGTCTTTTATCTATAATTGTTACTTTTTATCTTAATATCTTTTTACTTAAGATCTTTTTATTCGTTTGCTATTATCTTAATCAAATTAAATGCCTATTTGCCTGTATTTTTGAAAGAAATATCATTCCTTTACGTTTGAGACTTTTACATGAATTTTGCTTGATTTAGTAAGTACTAATTTGCTTTGTTTAATCGTAAAAATAGTAGTACAACGTAGTACAACGTAGTACAACGTAGTGACATGTCATTCACTAGATGAACTTAAATCCAGCTTTCTTTAAATGTTCATCGTTTGATTTCAAGGCTTATCCTTGGCTAAGTGCTTTTTTGCCTGAGATCTCGAGTTCGGGGAAAAGAAATGAATGGATTTTGAAAGTTCCAAACTCAAAGGGGGGATTCCCAGTGAAGGGGATCACCCCGGCACAGCCATGCTCGATCGGGGGGACTCGCCTGTACAGGACTCCGCCTCCATCCTTGCGAGAGACTCTTTCCCCTTCCCCTTCCCCCCAAAACTCTTTCCCCTTCCCCCAAACCTACTTTATTCTCCAACTCTATTTGACTTCAATTGTTATCCTTCAATTGTTCAATTTTAAAATCATATTTCTCTATGCGAATGCTGGCCACAGCGGCCTTGCCCCACTCATTGACCAGTCATTCTCAAGTGAGTGCATTTTAATTATTGAGAAATGTTTTTACGGTAGAACTAGAACTAGCCTAAAGCTACAGCCTAAAGCTACAGCCTAAAGCTAAAGCCTAAAGCTACAGCCTAAAACTACAATGTCATTTCATTGTCTCACTGTATTCTTAGATAAGAATATTGATAATCTTGGGTGAATGCCTTGGGCTTTTGGTGAATAGAATCTTGAGCATTCACCTAAGATTATCTAGTCTTCAAGTTCACCCACTTTCACTGGCAAAGCGCTGAAAGATGCTCAGCTTTGTCGACAGCTGTTTGTTGCTGTTTTACTGTATACTGATTTTATAGCACTCCGTATTTGGAAGCAAGGTTGTTCCAAGCCAGGCAAGGTTTAGATTGTCTGGCCTGAGCTGCTCAGCCTGACCTGGTCCAAGTCAAGCTTGGACTTGGCTCTAGCCTGAACCTGGCTTCTGACTCTAGCTAGATCTGGCTTCTGGCTCTAGCTAGATCTGGCTTCTGGCTCTAGCTAGATCTGGCTTCTGGCTCTAGCTAGATCTGGCTTCTGGCCCTAGCTAGATCTGGCTTCTGGCTCTAGCTAGATCTGGCTTCTGGCTCTAGTTAGACCTGGCTTCTGACTCTAGCCTGAACCTGGCTTCTGGCCTAGTTGCCTGGCTCGCTTGCTGAACCTGGCTTCTGACTCTAGCCTGAACCTGGCTTCTGGCTCTAGTTAGATCTGGCTTCTGGCTCTAGTCTGGCCCGATCTGCACAGAGGCTTGACCCTGGCTTCCGGGCGTGGTTATACTGCAGCTAGGGTTACTGTAGTCTAGGTATCCTGTAAACTAGGGTTACTGTAGCCTAGGTATAGTTGTATAGTCTTTTAGCACTTGAAAGCCCTAGTACAGATGGCCGCTAAATGTAAATAGATTGCGAATTTCTGTTGGAAGAGCTTGCAAAAGTAAAATACTATGCTGTAAGCTCTAGATAACTGATTCTTATCAGCTAATGTAGTAGAAAGGAAAAATCTTATCAATACAGTACTAGAAATAATCATACAGCAATTAAACTCCACCCTTTCCCCATCAGCACATTCAGGATGACGAGGATGACGGGGCAAGCTCAGACCCGCTAGTCCCACAATACTGTGACGCTTTCGATCATTTGAGTCTCTCGGGAAAACTGAGTCCCGGCGGATCAGCGATTTCCACGAATTTCTTCACCTCATCCACTTCTCCGTCACCATTTCATAAAGAAGTGAAAATCGAGTTGATGCACGATTTGATCCCCTACCCGCACAGTATCGCCTCAAGCTCTTATCAGAGCGGACGAGGTGAGCGAGGTTAATTTCTTTATTTTAAACCTGAAAATCTCAGCTTAACTTGGACTGAGTTTTGAATCTGATAAGTTACTTAAATGACAAGTTACTTAAATGACAAGTTACTTAAAGGAGAAGTTACTTAGATGACAAGTTACTTAGATGACAAGTTACTTAAATGACAAGTTACTTAGATGACAAGTTACTTAGATGACAAGTTACTTAAATGATAAGTTACTTAAATGACAAGTTACTTAAATGATAAGTTACTTAAAATGGTTCTTCTTTCGGCTCTTTATTCGGTTCATAGAAGTCGTAGTTCGTAGTGCATTTGTGATCAAACTTTTGATAGATTTTATATGTATTTACTTACTTTACTTTACTATTTACTTACTTTACTTTACTATTTACTTACTTTACTTTACTATTTACTTACTTTACTTTACTATTTACTTATCATTTATTGAATTTAATATCAATGATCGATTTACGATTATCTAAAGCTGTTTCAGAGCAATCCTCACAAAATAGCAAGCGAATCTCTCTTTGTTTACAGTTCATTCAAAGTCAATTCGTGAAAAGACGCAGATTTTCATTCCATTTGCTATTCTCGTGTCTATCTAGTTTTTGCCTATCTAATACCTATCAAATTTGCTACTCGTAATGCTATTCTATTGCTTTTCTATAGCTATTCTATAGCTATTCTATAGCTATTCTATAGCAAGAATTGTCTCATCCACTTACAGTAACCCATTAGTGCCTTCATCATTATATTAAAGATTCATAAAAGGCAAAATTCATTCCAACCTTGCTAAACCTTGCTTAAGATTAACTTTTCCCATTTCAACTTCAACATTTCACTATTTCCTTTCATGTTAGATAAAAGAAGAGCAGAGACTTTTGAGCAGAGACTTTGAGCAGAGACTTTGAGCAGAGACTTTGAGCAGAGACTTTGAGCAGAGACTGACCACCCAAGTGTCTCTCTTCTCTTTTTCTTTGCGCACTTCTCGAAAGAGAGCCCGATACATCTCGGTGCCAGTCGGTGGAAGTTGGTGTTGCTCCTCTCCTCTGCTGTGCTACTATGCTCTGCTCATCCTCTCTAAAAAGATCGAGGTCCTCTGGACACCTAGATTCACATTTACACTTCTTACTGTAACTGTAAGAGTTTTAGAAAATTGCGATGAAAAGATCGAAAAGGGTATTTCCCTTCCTGTAAAAATAAAGAGTAATATCCCTTCGCTGGCGGCTGTGAACCATTGGTAGCTCATTGGTAAGGTGTTCGTGTAGCTCATTGGTAAGGTATTCGGCCGATAAGCGACAGATCGTTGGTTGGAATCCTGGCGCCGACCATGACCCAGCTCAAACCCAACTAATAGAGTGTTTTTGGAATTTGCCACTTTTTAGGGTATCACTAAAGCCATCACGAGAAACATTTCCACTTCTTGGCTATTGTAGAAGTTGAAAAATGAGTAGAAACATAGGAAATTTGTTGTTACCATAATTCTTAGCTAGCTAACCCTCGATTTTAGCTGGCTTGGCTTGGCTTGGCTTGGCTTGGCTTGGCTTGGCTTGGCTTGGCTTGGCTTGGCTTGGCTTGGCTTGGCTTGGCTAACCCTGGCTTTTGACTTGACATGTCTAGAAGTACAACAGTAAACGCGGATACGCAAGTGTCAAAGAACTCAACTTATCATTTAGTTTTATCAATTCGATAAGCTTAAATCCCTTTCTTCCCCTTGTCTTTCCCGCTTTCTCTTGGCAAATCAAGCTACCAGATAGGTCAGTGATTAGAGCAATTGGCTTGAAAGTAAGGGTTCAAAAGCAAGGGTTCAAAAGCAAGGGTCGAGGGTTGAATTCCCTCTTCGGAAATCTACTTTTCCTTTACTTTCCTTCACTAAATATCAGAAGCTATGAATAGAATAGAATAAAATATAAGAAAATAGAATAAAATAGAAGAAAATAGAAGAAAATAGAAGAAAATAGAAGAAAATAGAAGAAAATAGAATAAAATAGAAGAAAATAGAAGAAAATAGAATAAAATAGAATACAATACAATACAATGAACTGAGTAGAAGTTGAATTGAATTGAACTGTACTTAACTTTGTACTTGCTAGACTTATAAGCTAAATCTTTGGACGATAGTTGTACTGAAGAATGAAATGCTAGGATTTGCAGGTGTTGCAGGTGATCATTTCCCAAAATCTAGCCACTCTAAGCCTTTCTCCTTTTTACCAGATGTCACTTGTTTCCTTTTTTTTCAAACAAAAAAAGATTGCTTCTGTTCATTCATTTCTTTGCATTCTCTTTTCATTTTCTTTCGGGTGTCCCTTGTGGTTAGCGATGAGAAGAGCCGATAACCTTAGTTGAATCTCTTCTCTTTTTTCTCTTTGCCCCATTCCAAGGACACATACATATACAGACAAAACGATTGAGATCGATCTGATCAACGGGGGGAACATAGGGACACAACGAAGGGGGATTTCCATTCAAGCAAAAGGGGTTGCAATGAGTATTGTTGTGGAAATGATTTGTTATTTGTAGCTGAAGGTTTGTTTTGAGGTTTCTTCTCAAGTAAAGCATTTTCCAAGCATTCCAGCATTGTCATTGTCAACAAAATGGCATTGTCAACACTACAAATAGTGTTGTCAACACTACATACTGTCTAAAACTGTCATAATCTTGGCTATAGTTTAAGTATCAAAGTCGAGCTGTTTAGCCTAGTGTAAGCTTATCAAATGGCGAATATCTACTTGATAAAAGAGCAGTATCTGTCCGTCTGTCCGTCTATCTGTCCGTCTGTCCGTCTCTCCGTCTATCTGTCCCTCTGTCCGTCTGTCTGTCCGTCTGTCCGTCTGTCCGTCCATCATGACCACTTTCTCCGTCGTCTTTTGACTAATAAAGCTAAAACTTCTTTAGAAAACCTTAGAATACATTGTAATTGTGCCATTTAGTATAAAAAATTGAAAAAGTCAAAGTCAAAAGCACTACGGTGGACCGAACCTGGGCCCTGCGAGCTGTAGACAAGCGTGTTCTTCACTGCGCCACGGTGGATACCGGTTGGCTATGCCATTAGGCGGGTTTTCAGCTGGTTAGACAAATTTGATTGATAGGATCGACTGACCTGTTCACGTGGAACCCTTCCCCACTTCAGTCTTCAAGGATCTCGCTTGAATATTTGCTACTACCACCAAGACCTGCACCGGTGGAAGCTCCAGCTGGACCCACGTCCAAAGCCTTCAACGCAAACCACCGCGACCCTCTTAATTCGCCGATTGGTCAGAGGAAACCCTTCTCCCTATAAGGCTGTCACAAGCCCCCTGAACAACTGCCTCCGTGGCCTAGTGGATAGTCTGCTCGACTACAAAACCGGTTACTTTCGTTTCCCTCGAGTTCGAGTCCGACTCCCGACAATTTTTTTTAAACTGTTAAAAAAAGGACAAAAGCTTGTTAGAAAGAAAGCTGAGTGATTTAGCCATGTTATTAATTTAGTTATAAATACAATTTTAGTTATAATAATTAATTAATTATAATTATTAATCAGCTATTAATCAGCTATTAACCAGCTATTAATCAGCTATTAATCAGCTATTAACCAGCTATTAATCAGCTGTCAGCTAACTTCGTTAGTCCTAGATCGATAGGTTTAGTTAGAAAATATTGAATCAAAGTCAAGCCAAGTTTCGAGCCAACTTATCCTTAGTAATGCTCAGTAAATGCTCAACTTATCTCAAGTAATGCTCAACTTATCCTTAGTAATGCTCTTGAACCGACCAATAAGAGTTAAAAATTCTTCTAAAGCTTTTTCTGAGTTCTGATTCTGATAAAGATCCAAACAAAGTCCATTCCATCATAAAAAAAAACCGGTATCACTTTTTTTTTCCATTCCAATCATCCTTTCGCAATCAATCAGAGCACTTTTTTTGAAATTTTTGACCATTCGCAAAGAGAATTAGTCGCTTTTTCACAGTATGCTTTTTCACAGCCTCACGTGTATCTTTCCCCGAAAAAAAATCCAAATCTCTTTCTTTTCTCAATCTCTTTTTTTTCCTCTCTTTCTTTTTTCTATCTCTAAATGGTCATTTTCTTTCTTTTTTTCAGTCAAGGCCATTCTTTTTTTGAACACCTTTTTTGATTTTTTTCTTTGAGTTTTCCTTGGGGACACCTCCCGCATTTTCTAGAAAAAAAAAACTCGACAAAAGACGCGAAATTTACATTTGAGTTTTTTCCTTGACTTTATGGGGTATGAAAAATGTTTGATATTGTTTGATATTCATGCAAAAACAGCCCCAAAAAACAAGCGAACGCAATTTTTCTCGAATTTCTCGAATTTCTCGAAAAGTCAACGAGTTTTTGAATGAGTGAGCTAAGAGGGTGGGTGGATAATGCGCAAATAAAGCAAGCTAACAATTGGCTTTAGAAAATCGTTGAGATCACTTTAGACTTTCTTGGGTTTGAGCTGGGGTTTGCAACAATAGTTTGCAACAATGCAACTCCTCCTGTGGTCGAGTGTGGAACGTGCCCATTGTTGAAAGTTGAAAATTTGAAACACACCATTTCTTGCACACTCAAATGTTTACTTACAGAAAGACAAAGATTGTTCCAAAGCAATTCTGGATCTTGCTGCAAGCCTGATCTGTCCAAAAGAAGGCTTGGATCTGGCTTGGATCTGGTCTGGATCTGGCTTGGACTGGACCTGGTCTGGATCTGGCTTGGATCTGGCTTGGATCTGGCTTGGATCTGGTCTGGGCCTGGCCTGGACCTGGCCTGGATCTGGATCTGGCTTGGATCTGGCTTGGATCTGGCCTAGACCTGGCCTGGAATTGGACTGGACCTGGCTTGGATCTGGCTTAGATCTGGCCTGGATCTAGCCTGGATCTGGCTTGGATCTGGCTTGGACCTGGCCTAGACCTGGCTTGGATCTAGCCTAGCTTTTGACCAAGCTGTCTTGCCGCTGTCTTGCCGCTGTCTTGCCGCTGTCTTGTCGCTGTCTTGTTGTTGTCTTGTCCAGTCCGGATTTGAAATCTAGTGCATTAAGGACCAAATTCCTATAAATCTCCACTTTTTGACTTTACAATGTCTCTAAATTTTCAAAATTCTTTCTTCAACTGGTCCTAGGCAGGGCAAAAGTGCAACTTGAAGGTACAGAGGGGAAGAGCCGTGCAAAGATGGCCTTCAGGGGAATGGGTGGATCGAGAGAGAACGGGAGGAAACTTCAAAAGAGAGGAGAGGAAGAAGGACTGGTCACTCCTGTTTACAGGCGGGGATTCTAAATTGCACTGACCAAAGGGGAGAGAGACACTGGAGGGGGACGGGGGTGCGATGTGGCACCAAGGTCATCCCCGATCCCCCTCAGATCCATTCACTGAGGCTCTCCCCGCCGAACGCCGCCAGGTATATTACAATCGCTGCGAGTTGCATGTGAATCGAGCCTGAGCACAAGATTTGGGGACCAGGGATTTGCAAAAATAGAGGAAAAGTCTAAAATCAGTGTTAAAGGGGATGCGCTTGCTTGCACTAAGTACAGGAATTGCTTTCTGTACAGGAATTGCTTTCTGAATTGTTTTTCTAGCTTTAGAATCTAGATTTCTAGCTGGTCAACTATCCAGATTTGAATATCTAAGTACTTATGTTACTAAAAGATATTTAGTTTGCTGACTTTTCATTTCGGCAGGCCTGGTGAGGCAAGAGCCTGAAAATGGTCGAATTGAGCTCATTTGAGGGTCTGAAAAATCCGCTACAAAACTCGAATCAAAGATCTTTTGGTACAGAAATGTAGGCAAGAATTCAGGCTTCAATTCTCTATATAACACTTGGGGTTTTTGATTTGATTGTGGCGTTTGGCATGCAATCTGCTGAAAAGGGAAAGATTTTTGAAATCCCAAAACTTTATGTGCTTTTAACTTTTAACAGAGTGCTCCATAGCAAAAACGGAAAATAGTTTCAGAATCAGCGTTGAATTCTGTATCGAATAACTCGTGACCGATTTGCATTTACCCACCACAGCCAGTTGACATTCTCTTGCGAATATTTTTTCGTCTGATTTTCAATTTTTTAAGAAACTTAAGCAATCAATCATTGTTCTAACCATTCTCTAACCATTCTCTAATCATTCTAACCATTCTCTAATCATTCTAACCATTCTCTAACCAGTCAACCAATCGAAAATCATTCTAGAAGCTTAGCTGAATGTTTTTTTTATGTAAAGTTTAGGTTTAAAATGGATGAAAGGCATTGGAGTGTTGTGAAATGATTCTTCTGAATAGCTTCGAAATTTACAATGTTATATATCATTGTTAAAGGTATTGTAAAGTCCAAAGATCTACAGTAGCCAAGAATTGAGGCAGAAAGGCAATTGAAGCAGGCTGATCGTGAAGATCTTTAGAACAACTAGATCTTTTAACAACTGTAAGTCCAAAGATCTACAGTAGCCAAAACTGGCGCAGAAAGGCAATTGAAGCAGGCTGAATGTGAAGATCTTTAGAACAACTAGATCTTTTAACAACTGTAAGTTCAAAGATCTACAGTAGCCAAAATTGAGGCAGAAAGGCAATTGAAGCAGGCTGAACGTGAAGATCTTTAGAACAACTAGATCTTTTAACAACTGTAAGTCCAAAGATCTACAGTAGCCCAAAAACTGGCGCAGAAAGGCAATTGAAGCAGGCTAAACTTGAAGATCATTAAAACAACTAGATCTTTTAACAACAACTAGATTTCAACTGTAAGTCCAAACATCTACAGTATCCAAAAATTGACGCGAAAACGTAGGCTAAACTTGATGATCCTTGAAACTGTATCTATAAGGATTGTATCTGTAAGAATTGTAACAACTCTATCTTTTCTACAAACTCTATCTTCACCACAAACTCTATCTTCGCCACAAACTCTATCTTCTGTCTTTTAACAACTCTATCTTCTCCACAAATCCAGCTCAACTGAATATCTTTAAATATATTCAATCTTGCCATTCAATATATATCTTGCCATTCAAATGAATCACCAGCTGTGCCCACGAATAATTCCCCGAGGGTTTTGCCGAGTTTTGCCTTTACAATACCTCAATTCCCCTCAAATCTTAAAATCTAAACCCTCAAAAAATGCCGTCGGCAAATTTGCCATCGAGCGCCAAGAGACGATCTCTCTCCATCTCTTTTCATTGACAAGAGGGATGCCCAGAGGTGCCATTTTCCTCACCTGGTCTATTTGAACTACCGTACTTGCCTACCTATCTTATCTTTTCAAAAAAAAAGGGGCGCGTCTTGGCCTAAATCCTTTTCAACGCGACCCCGATTTGACCTAACCTAGTTTCGAGAAATTCGAAATTTTTCTCTAAAAATGCCTAATCACTCTGAGCAGCCTCAACTATTACTTCTTGAGCCGAAAACGGAAAACTATGGTTTTGGGAGAAGTGCAATGCAGAATTTGCCTCAAAATCGTGTTGGTCCGTCGAGGATTCCGACAAGCGTGCACGCGACGATTTCGACGATTGGATTGGATGAAACGGAGCGGAGAAATCTGCAAACAACCGCTGTGACGACGCCGGCTTTAAAATTGGAGGGAATTGATGTGAAAACGGAGTGCTTGCCCTCGCCAAGTCCGTCGAAGAGCCCCGATGATCAACCCGTCGAGAATGTTCAACGTAGAGATTTTGATATTCGAAACACTTTGCACTATCGCATTTTTGAAAGACTAGATACTTTTATAGACCCTTTATCGGTTAAAGTAAAGTATCGTACTTGCTAGGGATTAGAAATTCTATAGACTGATTCACTAGCTGTACTGTGCTCTGGCATTCTAGTTAACTTCTAAATTAGATACTTGTAACGGTTCGTAGTATTGTATAGTCTTGAGCCTCATCTCTAGCTTTGGCCCCTTGGCGCTGCCCCCTGAGCCCCTTTTTGAGGCTAAGTCTAGTCTTAAGATTTCCAGCCTTGAGCTTCTAGTTCAATATTTTGAAGCCTTATGTCTAACTTTGAATGAACTTTGAAGCTTAAGATGTTTAAGATTTTGAAGTTTAAGTTTAGTTTAAGATAAGATTACCGTGTTTGAGTCTTGAGAACATCTAATCTCTAGCTTTCAGCGATTTTTGAAGTTTAAAATGTTTAAAAATTTGAAGCTTAAGTTTAGTTTAAGATTTTGAAGCCTATGAAACTTGAATTGAATGAACTTTGAAGCTTAAGATGTTTAAGATTTTAAAGTTTTAGTTTAGTTTAAGATAAGATTACCGTATTTGAGTCTTGAGAACACCCAATCTCTAGCTTTCAGCGGTTTTTTAAGTTTAAAATCTTTAAAACTTTAAAGTTTAAGTTTAGTTGAAGATTTTGAAGCTTAAAATGTTTAAGATTTTACGGTTTAAGTTTAGTTTTAGTTTAGTGTAAAATTTTGAAGTTTAAGATGCGTAAAACTTTAAAGTCTAAGTTTAGTTTAAAATTTAAAAGTTTCAGATGTGTAAAACTTTAAATTTTTAGTTTAGTTTAAGATTTTAAAGCCGAAGATGTTTAAGATTTTATGGTTTAAGTTTAGTTTTAGTTTAGTTTTAGTTTGTTTTTAGTTTAGTTTAAATTTACTTTAAGTTTAGTTTAACATTTTAAAGTTTAAGATACGTAAAACTTTAAAGTTTAAGTTTATTTAAGTTTCATTTAAAAATTTTGAAGCCTAAGCTGTTTAAAATTTGAAACTTTAAGTTTAGTTTAAGATTTTAAAGTCTATGAAATTTTGAATGGACTTTTGGTAAATAATTTCTTTCCCAAAGCCTCTATCACTTTTAATACTCATACCTTTAACTGAATATCCTTTTTGGAAACTTTTTTACTGGTTAATACTCGTATTTGAGTCTTTAAATCATTTTTGCCTTGTAAAAACTTGTAAAAACTTTCTTCTTTAAACTTGCAGCAGCTCTTCAAGCTTTCTTTAAGCTCTCAATTTTTCTTTAAGCTCTTTAAGCTAGCTTTCTTTAAGCTCTTTAAGCTCTTAATTTTGATCTCGCGGCCTATTCCACTTAAATTAAACCCAAAATCTAACTTAATTATAGGAATCATAAAAATCTAATTGATCTTTGTTTAAATATTAATTTTTAGCTCAAATCGAGGTGATCCCATGCAAGGTGTGCGGCGATAAATCCTCTGGTGTCCACTATGGAGTGATCACGTGCGAGGGATGCAAGGTTCGTCAATTTTTACGTAAATTTCACTTGATAAGTGTTTTCTTGATCTTTTTCTTTATTCTCTAATGTAATTTGATGTAATTGAATGTGATGGAAGGTAGTTGGATGTAATTTAATGTAATTTAATGTAATTACGTAATCAAAAACCCTTAATTTACGCAATTTTTTTCGGATGAGCTCTCAAATCCGCTTGACAAGGCACTATTTTGAATTCTCATTTAAAACAGTGCCTAAGCCTAAGCCTAAGCCTGAGCCTAAGCCTAAGCCTGAGCCTAAGCCTGAGCCTAAGCCCAATCATAAGCTCGTTGATAGGTTTTAAAAGCATACTTTTTTCAATTCAACTCTTGTACCTCATAAAAAGGTTTAAAACTGGTCAAAACTCAGCAAAACTCATCAAAATTGAGCGCAAGATTGAGTTTTAAAAAATCAACTATTTCCCTAGCACTCTTTGAGTTCTAGAACCCGAGATCTAGAATCTAGAACCTGAGATCTAGAATCTAGAACTTGAGATCTAGAATCTAGAACCCGAGATCTAGAATCTAGAACCTGAGATCTAGAATCTAGAATCCGAGATCTAGAATCTAGGACCAGAGATCTAGAATCTAGAACCAGAGACCTAGAATCTAGAATCTAGAACCCGAGATCTAGAATCTAGAACCCAAGATCTAGAATCTAGAACCAGAGATCTAGAATCTAGGACCCGAGATCTAGAATCTAGAACCTGGGATCTAGAATCTAGACCCGAGATCTAGATCTAGAACCTGGATCTAGAATCTAGGACCCGAGATCTGAATCTAGATCCGGTCTAGAATCTAGAACCAGAGATCTAGAATCTAGAATCTGGAACCCGAGATCTAGAATCTAGAACCTTAACGAAACGAACAATCTGAATGAGAGTTCCGATTGGATCAACGGGGAAAGGAGTGTTTTCGTGTGAATGAGTTATGAGAAGATATCGCGAGAGGATAACGGGAGATAAGATTTGCTGACGAGCTAGAGGAGCTAGAGGAGCTAGAGAAATTCTCTGGGGATATCCATGAATTCTAAACATTCTAATACAGTCGAACTTCGATATAACAAACTTCAATACAATGAAACGTTTCATACAAAGAACACTTCGATATAACGAAAGATCTTTTTGGCCGCGCCTTTGAGGTTTATTATATCGAAGTTCGACTGTAGAAGAGCTAGCTCTCCTATTTTTCAATGTCCCTCTAAAATTTTTTTACCAAATTTTTAAGAGCTCAAAAATCGGTGTTTTTCTTAGATTTTCATCCGTTTTTCAACGTTATTAAGCTTTTTTTTTAGTCTATAACTATTTAAAGCCTTTAAAAATCTTTTAAAAGTTCAGCATCGCCTCCGAGAGTTGAAAAATTCGAAAAGATGAAAAATTTCGTTTAAAGAGGGCTCTTTTATTGGAATAAATTGGAATTTTATTGAAATTTCTCATAGAAAACTTTTCTAAACCTTGAAAACGTATGAGAAATGGAAAAAAACTTTATCTAATATAGTACCCTAAAGTCGCGAGTATAAGTTCTGTTTGGTTTTCGCATGCAAATTGACGGCTTTCTCCGGTGCGGTGTGTCGAGGGTTCGAACCCCGCTGCAGCATAGCTTTTTTGCTTTTTAAGAACAATAATAGAAGTAAATTTATTGAGGGTTATAGCAATTTTATGCTGTTATTTGTTGCTCCGGGCGTGGCTCGGCTCGGCTCGGCTCGGCGCGTCCGCCCTGCTCCTCTCCGGTGCTCAGTCTTATGGATCCCTCCCTGGTCTCTTCATCCGGCCAAAGTCCACGTCGACGGTCGAAAGAGATGCTTTCCAGCGTCTTCTTCAACACTATCGTTTGGATGTATCCATGCACATAACAAATAGCAATGGTGATAGGCTGTCACCCTGTAGTCTGTAGTATCCCGCGCTCCAAGAACAATAATAAAAGTTTATATAACAATAAAAACCCAACAAAAAGAAATTCAAAGCAATTAAAGCGAATGTAAATTAAGGCAGAACTTATACTCGGATGAACTTATACTCGAGACTTTAGGGTAAGCAGAAGGAGTAGTGTTAAAATGAAGTGAAACAGTCACTTTATTCACTAATAAGCAAGTAAACTTGGATAAGTTTGCTTAGATAAGCGAAAATTCTATGTAAATCGATAAATCTTTGCTTATTTACCAATCATCTACATCAATTTACAAGCATTTTTCTTTTTCAGGGTTTCTTCCGACGAAGTCAATCCAGTGTCGTCAACTACAATTGTCCGCGACAGAAAAATTGCATCATCGATCGATCGAATCGAAATCGGTATAAGCAAAAGCTAAAGCTTTAAGCAAAAGCTAAGGTATAAGCAAAAGCTAAAGCCGATTTCCTATCTTTCCAAAACAAGCTCCAAGCTTTTAAATAATCAAATCTTATTGGTATAGAATCTAGACTGTAATCATTCCAATAAACAGTCATTCTATAGAATCCCTAGAATTCTAGGGAAGCCGAAATCGATAGGAAAAGAAAAGCAAACAAAAATCAAAGCCTAATCTAACAAGCCTTATAAAAACTAATATAATAGACTTAGAATAAACTTTTAAAAATTATAAGACACCGATCTTTTCAGCTTTTTAGCTTTTCAGCTTTTCAGCTTTTCAGCTCTTGACAATTTAGATGATTTTTAGCTAGGGAACGGAAAAGAATTCTGAAGAGAGGCTGACCGTCTATTATTCTAGTTAGAATAGTAGACGTCTATCATTCTAATTAGAATAATAGACGTCTATCATTCTAATTAGAATAATAGACGTCTATCATTCTAGTTAGAATAATAGACGGTCAGCCTCCCTTCCGAATTATAGTTCAGTACGAATTAGTTATCAGAAATTCTAATCACCTTATCAAAACCTTTCTAGCTGTCAATACTGTCGCCTGCGAAAGTGTCTTGACTTGGGAATGTCGCGAGATGCGGTGAAATTTGGTCGAATGTCAAAGAAGCAAAGGGAGAAGGTGGAAGATGAGGTTTGGTGTGCGGTGCTTTGAAAACCCGAGAGAAATTTTTAAGATTTAGAATACATTCTAAAGATTCTAAAGAAAAAGAATGAAGTTTTAAGGATTCCGCTTACAGGGGAATCTTTCTTGAAAGATTCCCCTGTAAGATTTCTTGAAAGATTCCCCTGTAAGATTCCCCTGTAAGCGCCTCGTTTTTTGAGCATGATTTTTGATGTTATCTGCATGACTTTTTGAGCTAATTGAGCCAATTACTGTTACAGATTTTGTCTCTGTAATTTTAGCGTCAACAGTTTCGTTTTGTAGTTTGTATTTGTATCGAATGGATGTATAACTGATGTATAGCTGATGTATAAATGAACAAAAAACTCTTCAGGTTCGCCTGCACAAGCAAATGGCCGAGGCGCATGGCGCGTACGCGTACGCGACCGGTGGCGACTACTCGCCACCCACACAAAATCAGCCATACACCTATGAGGCTGCTGGTATGTGAACTAGCATTTTGATGCAGTGAACTAGCATTTTGATGCAGTGAACTAGCATTTTGATGCAGTTTAATGCAGTTTAATGCAGTTTAATGCAGTTTAATGCAGTTTAATGCAGTTTAATGCAGTTTGATGAAACCTTTTCGCTACATTATTACGCTACATTTTACAAATCAATTCATCCACTTATCTCATATCTTTTCACTACAGACATAAGGCATTTTAAACTCGTTTTAAAGTTATTTTTGCAGAAAAATCATTGGTTTTTCTAATGAAATAAACCGTAGTTTAATTGGTGTTGGTTTTAAGGACGAAAATGAACGGACAGACTCTCTGGACAGTCTAATAGATCAATAGCCTTAGACTAGAACATAGGAAGTCTACTGAATCTACTGAATCTACTGAATCTAGTGAATCTAAGCAAGCAAGTCTACTTAATCAACCTCAAGGTTGGCTAAGAGATTTAGACTTAAAGTAGGTACCTACAATACCTGTAAGGACCTGTGTAGTACCTAAAATATCTGTAAGGACCTGTGTGGTACCTACAATACCTGTAAGGACCTGTGTGGTACCTAAAATATCTGTAAGGACCTGTGTAGTACCTAAGATACCTGTAAGGAACTGTGTAGTACCTAAAATACCTGTAAAAAACCTAAAATACCATACAAGATGCCTAAATATGAAATATCTGAATGAAATCCTTTGAAATACCTAAATATTTCAAAGTTCAAATAAATATCTAATATCTAATGACTAAACGTAACCTTTATCATTTCATTCCATTTTCAGGTGTTTACCCTCATTACGGTGCCTACTCGAATCACCAGGTGGCCGTGGCTCCAGTCAGCTATCCAGCTCATCCCACCTATGGAGTCGCTCCTCAAGGTTGGCTAAAAGAGATTTACAAAACCTAGGTACTTACAGAACCTCATGACTTTTATCGTAATCACTACAAATGCGAGTTTCAGGTGCCGTTCCAGCGGCGAACGGCGGTCATCCATCGCCGCCTGATCCCACAAATGCCTTCTCGAATTTCGGCGATGATTCGATTGTGGCTGTGACAGCCGCCTTCGAACAGGTTCAACTTGGACTTCGGCCGCTTCACGCGAGTCTTCCAGTCGACTTTCAACTGCAACAATTGGTGAGTTCATGGGGATTTTTTCATGGCCTAAATATTTTCATTTTTTCACGATCCTAAATACCTAAATATTTCAAAGTATACCTAAATAGTTCAAAGTTTAAAAATAAGATTTTCTATGAATTCTCATCGAGTTACCGGATATGCTAACAAAATTCGCCGATTTCCCAGTAAGGCCAATTTCTCAGTAACTAAAACAAGGCCAATTTCTCAATGACTATACAATTGTCTCAAATGAAAGAAAGACATTGTTCAATCTTATTCGATGGTGGCTTTCTTTTGGTATTGGGGAAATCTATGTGATCATCACAGCGGGGCGCCCTTTTTTCCACCGAAAAGGTGCCGCTGGCGGATCACTCACCACTCCATCAATGGGACCCTTCTAGCTACCAAATTGAGACACTAAAAGTCTAAAATGAGAAATGCCAAACTTATGCATAAAGTTAACGCGTTTCGAACTCTTTAAAATGTCTTAACGTTAAGCCTTTACGTAATAGCCATTACAATAATATCCTTGAGCACTTTAAAAATACGATCTTCTCCATTTAACACCTCAAGTTACTCTCTTGTCAAGTTACAACCTCGTATTCACCCATAAAATCCTTGCCGTTGGCGTGCAATAAACCGTCTCCATCCACTCTTATCTCATCTAAATCGAATCGACCATTCAAATTTATGATCGCTCGCTATCGGCATCTTGAGAGTAATAAAACTTTAAAAAAATTTGTAGGTAACCAATTTATTAATTTGAATAAACACTACGGTAAATCGAAGTATAAAATGCATCCTTTTGCCTATTTCTAAGCGTTCATCCAGTTTGCGTGTTTTCAGCCGTTCTCAATGCTTGTCTCTAAAAATAATTGTAAATAGACAATAATAGTCATAACAAACCTGCTTATAAAGCTTGGAATTTGCATTTTTCGTTGCATTGCATTGCAATTCGTCTCGGGATGAGCTTTTGCTTTTGTTCGTCGCTCAATACAAAGCGATGTGCTTGCGCTGGCCTCAACCGTTGTGCCACAAAAGGGCTCCATCTAAAATTGAAAATGTATTGTTTAAAATTAAACTGTAAAATCGTTAAACTTTTGTTTTGTTTATATTAAAGCTGGTAAATATTTAAAAAGAACCAACCAAGCAAATAACACGAGAAAGTTAGCAATCATGAAGGCGATCGAGAAGCCAATGTGTCTAGAGTTGTATTTGATTTGAATAGTTGAGTCAAACACTAAAATTACAATAATATAAACAAATAACTCAAAAGCATACTTGTACCATTTCCATCAAAAGACATCTTACTCGAAAATTCGCATCCGGAGATTAGATCTGAAAATAAAAAAATTAGTGTCAAGTGTTGGTGTTATAAAAAAATAAAAATGGAAACATTATACAAAGGGACAATTTTAGGATCGATTGACGGCCTGGCGACGTTTCGCCGACGATTTGACGCAAATTCTGCAAAAAGTGATCGATCTCGTCAAAACAGTGCCCGGATTCGTTCGACAGAACCAAGATAGACAAATTGTTCTTTTGAAAGGTGGGAAAAAAAAAGTTTGAAAGGAAACATTGATTTTATTTTACTTTCTATTAAGTTTACATTCATTCATTCAAGATTTACATAATCTTAATATTCATCATCGGAACCCAATTCAGGTGCTGTGTTCGAGCTCGTTCTCGTCATGATTGCACCGTGCTACAATTCGACGACAGAAACTCTGTGCTTGGATATGGTGTCAGTCTCGAGACATCTTTTCTCAAATACCACTAATGATGAGACGATTTTCATCGACACCTTGCAAAGGTAAAGAACGAGGAGAGAAATCGTAAATCGTAAAATTCATCAAATTCAGCGCTCTGCAAGAGCTCTCCTTGTGCAATTTGAATACCACCGAATTGGCGATGCTGTCGGTGGTGCTGCTTTTGGAGAGTGAACCAGCCGAAGAGCATACAGTGAATCAATACAAAGCAAAGTGAGTTCAAAAGACTGTCTGAATATCCCGCAAAATAAAAAAACCGTCTAAATCTTCCGCAATTGTTTCAAAATAAATTGGAAAAACAAGGCTTTATCCATTTTATTTTAAATTTGCTTAAATTTACTTAAAAATTAAAAGCTTACCAACTGTGCAAAGTAGCATCTAGATTTCAAAGTCGATCTAGAGCTAAAGTCGATCTAGAGTTAAAAAGGGATCATGACCAAGCAAATGATCATGACCAAACTTCAAACCAACCCTTTCAGTCTCTCCAATTCACTCCTCGAGCGCAACCAGGGAGCCACCGTCGATCGTGTGTGGAGTTGCGTGAATCTGATGCGTCAATGCGGTCAACGACATCTTCTTTTGCTTCGTCATTTGCGTGCGACTCTTCTCCCTCCGAATATCCAAATCTTGCCTCCCCTTTACAACGAGTTGTTCACTGATTAAACTCCACATCAAACATTTCATTTCAACATTTCATTCGGTTAAACCAATAGCATTTTCTTTTTCCAATTCAAAACCCAGTGGACTGTCAGCATTTTAAAACTGGATGTCAAAAATTTTTTTCTCATTTTCGACATATGTGCAATTGGTGCTATTGTCGTATGTCTTTATGTTTACTATGTAGAAATTTTATTGTCTTTATGTTTACTATGTAGAAAACCAGTTGAACGGCAGTTTTTTACTATTCAACTGGAAATCCACCATTTCTTCATTCCACCATTCAACATTCCAAAACTTTCCGAAAAATTCAGGTTTCCCCCCAACAAATCAAGTGATTTTTGACCCGTGAGCCCATCAAGTCCTTCATTTTTCACTTCCTTTTTTTTCCTTTTTCAAATTTTTGAATACTTTTTTATATAAAGGAACTAAAGTTGACGTACGAGTTGAGCGCTTTTCCTTTCATTTTTTACTTACTTTACTGCACCCATTCTCTTAAATTCCTTTGTTCTTACCATTTTTATGTCATTATTTATATTTAAAGGCCGGGCAACGTGCATGCAAGCGATATCGGCATTCTTTTTACATGGTGTTACCACGCTCCTTTATCGCTTGATAATTGAACTTTTTCAGATAAATGTTTTAAAAAATCAATATTAAAAACAGCTAAATATAAACATTGCAAAAACTTTATTCATTAAAAAACGAACTGTAAACTTATTTGTCGAAGATCCGATCTATGAGCAGACGCAAGACATGAACCGAGGCTTCTCTTGCACCTAAAAGAACATAAATTAAACAGTACTTTGTGGCAAATTTTGTATTGGTATACTGTAAAGTACTGTAAATAACTTAAATAGAATAAACTATTCAGTACCTCCACATCGTTGGCGTCGGCTTCTTCCTTCTGAAGTCTTTGTGAAGTCTCCTCGGCTTTCTCCAATTGCTTCTGCAAGGCTTGCACCATGGCTCGCCTAAAAAAACAATTAAATAGTTAAAGTTTGAAAAAACCAACTGTTCATCGACTTTCTGTATTAGAGCGGCCTTGAGACGCTCCATCTCCTCGCAATCAGACTTGATTCGTTCGGTGTCAGCCTAAACTTGAATATTAAAGGCGATAAAATTCAGCGTTGGATAATATTTAGATATTCGTTTGTTAAATATTTTAGTGAAGTTCGTATCGATAAAACTATCAACCTCAATGCATGCATGAATTTGTTGAAGTTCTTTAAGGCGTGCTTCTCCCATCAAGTTGCTAGCGCTCAGCATGTCCGTTAAAGAAGCCGATTTCGAAAGAGCAGCCTAAAAAACCAGAATTTGGCAACACATACTGTTCTTGAGTTATAAAGTTATTTAAAATTTTACTTCTTCACCAAGAGCCACAGCTCGATCCAGACTGAGAACGGTCGTGCTTAACTCGAGGGTGATCTTCTGAATTTGGCTTGGATCTGGAAGTGCAGCCCATAACTAAACAAAAATAATTAGGATCGTTAAGTTTTACTTGATATATGAAGTACACATGTTAGTTACATTAAATGGGCTAAAGCGACTATCTAATTGCTCAATAATTGCCACGATCTTAAATCTAATTGCTCACTGGACATAACTATGTCTCTAATAAATCAACACTAACTTTGACGAGGATAGTCGATTTAACTAGTATTCGGCATCATTAGAAATTGGACCAACAATTTTTTCTTGGCACTAACTTTAAAAAATGGGCCCAAGCAAGCACTAACCACTTGAAAATCCTTGATTTCCCGCGCTTCGATCGCCTGAATGTGCATGATGTGGCGGGGGTCATACTTGTTCTCCAAGAGCTCGATTCGGATCTGAATCTAGTTTATTTATCACGGATAAAATGAACCATTCAACCTGTAGAGGATTGCTATTGTTGATGATGCCGCCATTTGGTGCAACCATGTAACGAGTCGGCCCATTCGTCAAAAGACGCCAACACACTGGCACCTAAAGACTGATTGTTTATGAAGTTCTAAAGACTGAAATTAATAATACCGTAAATAATGCAATAGTACCCCACCCCCTCATACATTCGCGTAGTCGCAAAAGTTTTTTAGTATTTTATTTTTTTCAAAGCGCCTGTAGTTTCAAATGTTTGGTACAAAAAGCCCGATTTCGCGACCTAAGCGCGCGTTGTAGCATAAACCAGTGTCGAGAAAAGTGCGTTCAAAGCCAGACTACGCGACACTCCGGACCGTCATTATGGGAGGGGGTACTTTTCGTATTTACGGTGAACTTCGCAACAGCTATTCGACCCAAAAAGCTAGTCTAGCCTGTGGTAATACAAAGTTAAGTTTGCCTCCAACAAAGGCTACTGTAAAGTATCTTGAAGATTTAAGACTACGTAAAAGCTAGTTTGCACAAAAAGTAACCCTGCAATCGGGATGACGTCGAATCGTGATCGTTTGTGAGGCGTTCTCCACTTGCTCGACGTCAAACATGATCAATGTCTAAATCATACTACATCTAAATCTACTACATGAATCGTATGGATCGTTTTTTAAACTTTGCAACACAGTTAGCGGCTACTTTTTACACTCTAATAAAAACTTAACAAGGATTCAATGAATTTTAGCTATCAAACCCACAAAGTGTTAAAAAATGATGAAGAAACGATTCACCTGATCCAAGATGACAAAATTGTTGACAGAAGAAGCCATACTTGAAAAGATTGAATAGAAATGAAAATTTTGCCGGCTGCGCTTTATTTATTTGGGTTTTAAATGTAAATTAATTAATACTAATTTCTGCAAACGTCATTATCAGTGGAAACGGGAAGTCTCGTAGCGACTTTCTATTGAGATTGACGACTTTCTGAAATGAACTAGGGCCATTTTCAAATTGAAAAATGAGCTGTTTTAAGCTGATCTTTGTGTTTTACCTGGCCAAGCTTTCACTTCTTTTTGCTTTTTCACTTCTTTTTACACGTTTAATGTTTTGTTTTTAGGTGCTCGCCAAGAAATGACCAACGGAATCTACAAGGTTGAAACAGAAGATGGTTCTGTCCACACGCTCACGAAGAAAGCGGCTCGCCGATCCGGTCTAATGCGACAATTCATGGATGTATGTAGAGTTTTTTTTTCTTAAGCCTTGATCTAGCAAGTTTTTAGGGTAGTCAAATACAGGGTGCGGCAAAATTATGGAACGGATGCTTATTGATGAATTAAAAGAAGAAAATGAAGAGAGTACTCCGAGTGTTATATATCATTTGAAAGCTCTTAATGAATACTACAAAATCGAATAGTTAATAACAATTTGTGCCAATATTGGAAACATTTAAGGACCTGAGCCGAGGTAATTTTTAAAAAGAGCGATTTTCAACATTTTTAACTGTATTTTGTTCTGAAAATATTCGTTTTGAACGTATTTTGTTTTGAAAGTATTCGTTTTTTTAAAGTATTCATTGACTTTAACGTTTAACGTTTTAATTATTGAAAGTTTTTAGGTTTAATCTGTTAAAAACTGTTTTTGAACATTTCAATGTTTCTCTAAAAACACTAGTTTTCGATATTTACGTTTTTTTTCAGTTTTTATCAAAACTTTTTCTGAAGTGTATGTACTAATTGGTTAGATTTGTATTCCTATATTTAATGCGGAAATAATCAATATAATAACTGGTCTAGTTGACACTAAAACAGAAGGTCATCTTTTTCAGGAGTGTCACGTTCAGGTCCTTAAATGTTTCCAATATTGGCACAAATTGTTGATTTAGCTATTCTATTTTTTTAGGATTCATTAAGAGCTTTCAAATGATATATAACACTCGAAGTACTCTCTTCATTTTCTTCTTTTAATTCGTCGATAAGCATCCGTTCCACAATTTAGCACCTTGTAGTACGAAAATTCACCTAGCAAACAAACTTTTGGAAGTGTTCTTAACTAATAATTTGCGCTTTTTGACTTTGCACAAACTGAACAGCCACAAAATCTACAAAGCTCTGTTTATTTTTTCGGGGTGCTAGCAAAACCGCCAAATTATTTGTGCCACGTATCATTTGCGCCAAATTTGCGCTTTTCAACATTCTTTCCTAGCAACTCTGCTTGACCATTTATATTTTTTTTCAGTTTTTTCTCGTCGCCGATGCTCGCTATTTTGCCGCAAAAAGGCCCAATCGGGGACACAAAAGTGACTGTTGTTGGGGTCTGTATAGGTATTTAAACGTGTTTTCTAATTGAAAACAATGAGAACTAAAATTGTGAAGCAGAAAACTGAAAAAAAAGCTGGTTAGAAGTTGAGAAAAAGTGATTTGTGACAGTGATTTCCATAAGTTTAAATTTGGCGCAAAAAACGCAGCGCTTTTGCTAGCACTTCATTTTTTGTGCACCAGTTAGTTAAACTTTTCTGTAAAATGAAAGCTGAAGACTAGGGAAAATTGTAAAATTCTTTATTTAAAAGGATCATTCTAACCGTTCTTTAGATTTACGAACTAGACTCGGATCATGACTCGGATGCAGCTATGGAACCAATGATTCTACCGATGATTGAAGCAAATACTATTACTTGGGTAGTTGCTTGTAAATTTAAAAAATTGTTAGTTCTTTAGATCATCTTTTACCTGGAAATAAAGAAAAATTGTCCTGCTTACGACGAACAACGCTCGTTAGTTTTTAAAATAAAAAATTTGTGATTAACATAGTTTAGTTCGAAGAACAAAGAAGAGCTGTCTCGGGAAATCGAATGGGAGAATCGAACTCTTGCAATTTCAAACGCAATTTTATTTCGGATTTTTAATGTAGGTATTTAGTTTTTAGAGATTATTGAATGTTTATTTAATATACTTGTAATAATCAGTAATCTACAGTAGTACAATTTTAGGCTTCCAACTACCTTGACATACCCGATCTCTACGACTGGTGCGTACAAAAAGTCGCAGACAAGGGAAAGGTAAAGTGATTTAGTCTACCTGTCTACACCTTTTCATCTTCAGGGCAAAAGTGTCGAGGAAATGCGCAAAGTTTACGGCGTCAAACAACCACCCGATGAAGAGCAGGCACGACTCAGGTTGGAAAATTTTAACAAATAAGGTTTTAAATTATTTTATGATACTTCTATATATGGTTCTTTTTAGTATGCAAAATCCGCTCGCCGCAATACTGGAGTATCGACACAAGAAAGCACAAGAACGTCGTTTGTCATCAACTTGTGAGTCAACTTCCTCCTCCTCTGAAGCGGAATGAAAATGCCGTACCTTTAAAGATGCCTAGGCTAGACTTTAGTATATTGGAACAAGGTATGGCGATACTTTAACGCGATCAAAGAAAAGCGAAAATACCATTCCTTCGCCGATCTTCCGAAAAGTCTATTCCTCAGTCTTTTTAAAATTAGGTGTACGCTATTACAGATTTACTAACGACTTGCTAGCGCGTTTTTCTCTTTTCAACTCTCCTGAAGGCAGATATAATTTGATATGATCTATTTTATTCATTAATAAATTTTTATTATGGAAAGTGTGTTGAATCTACAATCAACACCTATTTGCGAGTTATTTTTTGCTAGAGTGTATTCTTTTCTATCTACATTTTGGCTATATAAAGCGGTTTTTTTCATTTGTAACCCTTTTTATTCATTTTCCACTGAAGTGAATTATTGTTTGTAACGATAAAATTTCGTTGTTTTGAGCAAATTCAAGATAGATTAAATACAAGTACAAATCGCGAATCCCTTTAGTTTCCAAAGGAAGCTAAACAACAAAGCAAAGCTCTTTTATTGGGACATCAAAAATCAATAGTTCACAAAATCGGTTTTTTGCAAGTTTTATCGATCGTGGGATGTCGAAGTGATCGTTCATTCACATAATACTACAGCCTCCTCCACAGCAGTAGGGATCACAACAATATCTGGTAGATAAAAATTTAGGAAAATACTAGAAAACAAAAATACCCATATCCGGCACATCCGTCTCCATAACCGTATCCTCCATAACCTCCGAAGCCGCTACATCCATATCCGCATCCGTAGCCATAGAGTGGTGGCTAAAAAAGGATCTACATTTAAAGTCTTCGCATTTTAACAAATCTTACACAAAATAACTTTAACTTTTCAACCATAAGATGAAAAGAATCAAATTAAAAGTTTTTAGAACCATTATTTTAAAAACAATAAACTTACTAGAGGATAGTAAACTGGCGGCGGTGGTTGAACGTAGACAACTTGAGGTGGCGGTTGATATGCCTGAAAAGAAAACAATTTCTAGGAAACGTGAAAAGCGTTTACGTCATAACGTTTACGTTAATGTTTATGTCATTTTAACACCCCGAGTTTCTACTTTCGCTAAAAAAAGCAACAAACTTTGGGCGGTGGTGGTGCTTGTGAAGATTGTGAAGATGTTCTCTTCTTCTTACGAGTGGGAGTCTCCTAAAAGCGACAGATTTTGTTTAAACCATGATTAATTTAAAGTTAAATTAATGCTCCTCGACTAAACAACGGAAACAAAGTATAAAGTTTGAAATTTTAAAAACTCACGCCCATTTTCGGAGAACGAGTCGATGGAGAAAATAAATTCTCGATTGTGCCTTACTTTTATTTAGGGGGTTGAATGAAAATTCTCTTGACAGACAGACAGACAGACATAAATATGCTAATTTTACGTAAAATTTTGGATATTAACGTACATTTAACCGTCAATTAAAAGATGCACAAAATTATTTAATTTTTATCCTTATTCATCTAATCATTCTTTCAAATGGCGAACAAGAAGAACTTCGACAAAAGACAAAAGAACTATGCGATATGCGCCAATGCTCATGATTCCAGTGTGTCGATTGTAGTAATCGACATACTGGAGTCATGAGCATTGGCGCAAGTCGCAAAGTCGCAAGTCGCCAACAAGAATAAGAATGTACTACCGCCTTCACGAACATCGAAAACACGACGAGCAAGATGGAAACAATCAGCTGCTTTGTTGCCACTGCTGCTTCTGGCGTTAGTGTGGGTTTTTGCTTTATATTTGCAGTAGAGCGAAGCCATAAAAACCAAATTATTATTTGTTTTATTTGTGGCAATTATTTGTGATTTTGTGTTCCCTGTTTAGCGTAGGTAAATTTATTCATTCGTTTGTATAAGCGACAAGTATTTGGTACCGTTTCATAGTATTTTTGTATCATTTAATAGAATGTTTCAAAAGTGTAAAGGACGGGCAACCTATCCCTCTTTTTTGAGATTTATTCAAAGTTAATCCCACGGTTAGTTCAAGGAGAGGTTCTTTCGTTTTAGAAATTCCAGTCACCTCAAATAAGTTTATTTATAACTCTTTTCCAATAAGAACTACCAGAATTGGAATTTGGAATCGACTTCCCAGAGTTCCAGAGTTCCAGAGTTTTGAGAGAGTCCAATAGTCTCGAAAGTCTCAATTATCTGTAGATGGGCTTGAAGATGATCTTGATCTTGAAGCTCTAGCTTGAACTCTAGCTTGAACTCTAGCTTGAACTCTAGCTTGAACTCTAGCTCTAGTGGATCCTTGACGTTATCTGAGCTACCCGGAAGGTTAGCGGTTGGAAACGGAAAGGTTGGCGTATGAGAAAATGCCCGCTTCTCGAGGCGCTCCGTAGAGAGTCGAATTCAAAAAAAGCCGAATTCAAAAGGGGGTAGGGATGAATGCCTTTAACTGTAGATGATGTTGATCATCTGTAGATGATCTCGAAGCTCTAGTGGATCCTTGACGTTATCTGTGACAAAAAATTGCATGTTTTCCCCTACATGGATTTTGAGAAAAATTTTGGAATATTCACATTTAGAAATTCGTTTTAGAAATTCGTTTTAGAAATTCCAGTCACCTTCAATAAATTTGTGTATAACTCTTTTCCAATAAGAACTGCCAGAATTTGGAATCGACTCCCCAAGGTTTTAAGAGAGTCCAATAATCTCGAAACCTTTAAATTATCTTTAGATGATCTTGATCTTGAAGCTCTAGTGGATCCTTGACGTTATCTGTGCTACCCATATATTACATATATTTTATCGTGTCGCAATATAAATAGAAATAGAAAATACTTGACAAACATTCTAACATTTCCCCATTCCAGATCGACTATAAGTCAGATGCTTGAACGATCGATGGTGACTTCAAGACGACGAATTATTTCGAGAAAATTTTGTAAACATTTTAAACATTGTAAATCAATTTTCTAAATTATTGATTCTTTTATTCATTCAATAAATCTTTTAGGATGTTATTTTATAAAGAGAATCAAGAATGATAGACTTTTAGCTCTACTAAATTTCAGAAAATCCCTTCTAACTAAAGATGTATGCAAATTCAGATAAGAAAAGATAATGACAAAAATCTTTTATTCACAAATCCGAATTCAATCCAATTTCACAATCTTTCTGGCCTTAACTCCATCGGGGGTTTAAGAGTGTTACTTGAATGAATTGGCGCCGGTTTATCCATCGGTACATCGAATTCCTCGTCGGAGAGTGAATCCGGCGTTTCTAGAGTAATGCTTGTAATATTCAAAATATTAGAAGATAAGTTACCGTAAAATAGAATGGATCTAATAGAATTCTAATAAAGAACGAATATAGAAATAAAGGCTCCTATAGGAGCGTCGGGTAGTCAAAGGAATGCTCAGAAGTGACGGTGAGATTTTGAGACGAAAATTTGGTGCAAACACAAGTCGAGTACGGCGAATACGATAGCGCTTTTAGATTTTGCGAACGGGCAATGGTCTTCGAGATTTAGGCAATTTAGGTATCTATTTGAAAAGCCTAGGAGTTAAAAGAGAAACCTAAAAGTTAAAAGAGGCTTCTCTCCTCCTTTAAACAGAAACCAGATTGTCTAGTGGATAAGGAGTTTTGCTATGAAACTAACGTCATCTTTTCAGCTTATGGCTTCGATCTATTTAAGGTAGTGTTAAAGTTGGAGGCGACTTGATTACAAGATTTAGAGGAATAGAACCAATTTTATCGCTCACCTTTGGGCAGAATTTCTTTCGCGTCTCATACGAGCAGAACATTCCCATGATGACGAAAAGGGAGATCACCTGGAAATGATTGTGGAAATGAGTTGAACTCGGAAATTTGGATTCTTAAAGTTTTAGTCTTATTGTTAGACAGTTTTTTCTCACTTCAACACATGAGATCACTGACAATCCAAGCCAAAGCCCGGCCTGTCCACCGAGATCGTTGATCGCTGCAGAGATCTGAAGTTTTAGTTGTAAGTTGGTTGTAAGTTAACTATAAGAAGTTGTAGGAAGTTGTAAGTTTACTGTAAGAAGTTGTAAGTTAGTTATAAGAAGTTGTAAGTTAATTGTATTTGCCAGCAAGTTATATCAAAGCCTATCATCAGCATTTACCAAAAATCCGATTGATTAGATTTTTTTGGTAAACATTTATGCAAGAAAGAACCTTCTGGCATCACGAACTTGAATTCTATCAAATTTCTCTGATTCTACACTCAGATTTTCAAGAATTAAGTGCACTAGAGATGGTGCTTTTCTCCAATCAAACCGAATACGCTGAATGGAGCATTCAGCGTATTGGGTGTAGACGTTATACTTCAAATCGGAGAAGTAGATCTGCAGAATCAGCGCGTTCTCTTGATACCAGAGTCTTAAATTTAGAGAATTTAGATCCAAATTGACATCATTTTAATGTAAAAGAGTCTAATAAAAGCTTTAAGTTTGCTATTTTATTTTCTACCGGCAAGCCTCTTGCATGATTCCAATAGCCGTGAAATTCGTCTGTGTGTTGGCGTCGAATGGATCAGTGTGTCCATCGCATCCAAAAGTCTGAAGTTTTAAAGTAAAGTAAAGTAAATTCGGTTCGCTTTTCAATATAATTAGTGTTTAATAAAAGTTATCAATAATATTGCATACTCTAAATACCTGACTGGCTATTTTTATAGGGAAAGTGCGATAAAACTGTGAGTGTACTGTAACTTTCTTCCTGTAATGTAGCTGTAATACTGCAAGTACCGTAGCCGCTAGCAGACTTGCATTTTAAATCCCTTTAGATCATTTTACTAGCTAGAATTTTTGAAAGTGAGTTGAAAAGTTTTTATGTAAAAGCCCTTACAGAAGAACAACTTCCGGAGCATTTTTGAGTCACTTAAAAGTCGAATTTCAAAAAACTAAAAGCGCCATCTTGTAGAGCGTTCTCGAAAATACTTAAAACTTGAACAAGAACAGCGCCTACGCCTCCCTACTTACGTTAGATCCATCCTTGAGTTACATGT